TCTCTCTCTCTCTCTCTCTCTCTCTCTCTCTCTCTCTCTCTCTCTCTCTCTCTCTCGCTCTCGCTCTGTGTGTGTGTGTGTGTGTGTGTGTGTATTCGGTGACTTGATGTGGACGCAGTGTGCGTCTTCGAGCGCCTCAAATTCACGCGCCGCGGCGATGTTGCCTTCACATGCACACACGAATTTGTGGGCGCGGATTTCTCAGTCTCTCCACGTCTTCAATTTTAAGTTTGCGCGCCACGACGTATCCAGACTCTTTTGCGGTGCAGCGTTCGCATGCACGCACTAACCCGCACCGACGAAGCGCACGCACGCACCAAGTCCTAGGCACGCGCACAACTTCGCGCACGGCCCGCGCTACACACGTCTGGATTTCGCGGCCCACGCGCGTATTTCTGTCTCTGCGCTGTATCCACTCTTTTGCGGTGCAGCGTTCATCCGCGCGCCAAAGAGACGGCCGCACCTGCGCGACAACAGGCTGATGATCACAAAACACAAACCAACGGTCGGATAGCACCGTCTGAAACGTTGCCGTCCTATGCCGAACTCCGCCGTTGCGTCAAAAACATCCCCGTCGTATGGCCCGTTGTGTGGCAAACTCCTCCGTCGAAAACGACCCCGGCGGGACTGGGACTAAGCAAAATTCCATCCGCGCTCGCCCGTCATCCCGCGGTACCCCCTCCCACGGTTTCCCAACTCCTCCGTCGAAAACGACCCCGGCGGGACTGGGACTTCGCAAAATTACGTCCACGCCCCCGTTCATCCCGCGGTACCCCCTCGCACGGTTTCCCATGGGCCGGGCCGTTGGCGTCACGGCGGGCCCGCTCCTTATTTATGTATAGAGATCATTTTATTTTTCTTTGGGAGGGGGAACGGGGGGCCGTATGACAGGAAGATGGGAATATGGCGAAGAGAGGGGGATATGGAGAGGAGGAGGAGGATGTGGATGAGGACGACGACGAGGAGGAGGAGTCGAGATGGGGGAGGAGAAGAGATGGATGGAGGGAAAAGAGGAAGGGCAGGAGGAGGAGGACGAGTGGGAGGAGGAGACATGGACGGCGAGGAAGGGGAGGACACGAGGAAGGGAAGGAGATGAGGAGGCATGGAAGATGAGGAAGTACGAGGAGGAGGAGGAGGAGACAAGGCGGATGAGGAAGGGCAGGAGGAGGAGGAGGAGGAGGAGGAGACGAAAAGGAGAAGGGAGGAGGAGACATGGAGGATGAGGAAGGGGAGGAGGAGCAAGGTGAGGCAGTACTCCTATAATTTTTTTTTTCATCTCGCTTATAATTTTGGCGGGGGGCCTCAAACACACCGTTTCGACCCCGGCCTTTTTTTTTTTTTCTGAGGGGGGTGACGGGTCGTTCTCTGCACACGTCGTGCGTCGCACGGGATCGGTTGGGCGCGTGCGCCGCACGTAGGGAACCACCCGCACGACGTGCGCTTGCATGTATGGAATATATCAATTGTTTTTATATTTCAACATATTTGCATGCTTTCAAAAAAAAAGAAAAAAAGAAAAAAAAGAAGAAGATATTTTCATGCTACCGCGCTTCTTCTCCACATTGCCTAGTTATTCTTTGCTGGTTGTTTGTTATCCTTGCGTTGAGCCTCGTGAGCTCATCCAAGATCTGATCATGATTCTGAAGTCAAGTTTTTGCAGATACACATCTTACATAGTCAATGGAGATCCGATCAATTTGGTTCCGACTCTATGAGAGACTTCCACGGCCTCGACTAGACGTACAGTTGAGCATTTCAGGAAAGCCATGTTCATGGCCGCTAACCACATAGCCATACCCAAAAACCTTGCATTCTCACGTCTACAAGAGGTCGGCAATGCGTGAATGGCCCTGCAACTGCAGCCCTGCGTAAGGAAATTCTCTTAAACATACAGGCTTTTGATGACTAGAGGGCGTGGGAATCGCGAGGCAAAATGAATCACTCCATCTTCTCTTTTTTCTCCTATCTTTTCTCCATCTGTTATGGAGGTAGGGGACTGGAGAGTTAGAGGGATACAAGGGACAGAAGAACGGACAGAGCGAGAGGCAAAGAAGGGGCCAGAGTGAGATATATATCCAAACGGCACTGTGAGGTACAGGAAGGGAGAGCATGAGAAACAACACAGGGACAGCAGACTGCAGGGAGACATCAAGGTACAGCACAAGTAGGAACAGAGCAAGTGACTGAGGGAAAGATTGGTTTTAGGGTTTAGCGCATGAGCACCTGGTGGACAGAAGTTGGATTGTTTGAGGGCCAGTAAAACGCACAACCATCCCTAGTGATCGCTGTGCTATGAAAGACGCCCGCAGCAATTGCCACCACATGCAGTTTCTCTGCCCGGTGAAATTTCAGAGGGACACCACCTCCCTTTCTCGTATCACGAGCAACAATCACCCTCTTGGGAATCACCATTTTGTAGCCCCATGTAAACACCTGCACGACAAATGAATAACAGTAGACAATAACCCCATGCAATCAAACCTTTATTTACAGACTGAGAAAACTGCATTCTCCTCAGGACGTTATCTGTTATCAGAGATTTCCGAGTCCGAGGCTGTTTTCGCTGTCTTTCTCTGAGTCCATGTGTCCTCCAGATGATGTATGTGTGTCCCTTTTTGCTTGTAGGAGTCCAAGGTTGTCCCTGCACTGACTCTGTGTTCCATCTTGTGCTTCTGTGTCTCAGATAGGGGTAGGCTAGCTTTGAAAGGACTTAGCAAGAATTCTCATAACAACATGGGTAGAAGGAGAATTTGCTAGGGATCTGGTTGAGGTTTTCCAGCAACTCAGAGAGGCCCTGGAGTCCTGTAGGGTATGGTACCAATATTGCATCACATCATGTCTAGGTGCAGACTGTAGGTGCGATTACAGTCTACAGTGATGTTCCCGCCAAAAAGGCAGGGAACTGGTTGGCCCAAGGGCACGGCCAGGGGCTGACAGCACCCGGGTAGAGGGTTTGGAGGCCAAAAGCCCAGTGTATGCCATTTGGTGCAAAGTCCGGCTCATTAGTCAGCATTCATGCTGCTGCTCCACACGAGTGAGGAGACACGGAGCTTTCAATTGACTGTTTCTGATCTGACCATTCTGTCATTCCTCTTTGTGGCCCATGTGTGAATTTGCTTTTTGCCGTACTAGTTGATGTTTCGATCAGCTTGCAACCTTGCTGTGGTGTAAAAGCAGGCAAAATTCTGAGGGACTTGTTTTGACTCGGGTGAGTGACTGATTGAGCGACAGAGAGGTAACCTGCCCAAACTACCAGCCTGGCAACTAGCAGGGTAACTTGAAAAGAATGTAGTCCTGTGATCCTGGCACACTGTACCTGTGAAGACATTGATCGAAGAATGGCAGCCATATCATGCCAGTTGGGGTTGGATAATCTCTTCAGCCCCCGAAGTAGGTGGCAATCGCCATCCTGGAAAGACCGCAGGGAGGATGCCAGTGGTCATCTGGAAGGAGTCCAGATATACTGTCTGAGGAAGTTGATGTCATGCCTTCCATCTGATCCATGTTTCTGATGGCCCCCAAAGTGATCTGATAGCAAGTACAGACCACGATCATATCTACACTAAATGGGAGGCCTTGTGTTCTTTACCAGACTAAACACCCGCGAGGAGTGTTCTACCCTCTTACCCTTGTATGGCATTCATAGGTCAAAGAGTCAACGGCAGGGCCGAACAAGATAGGAGAGAGAGAGAGAGAAGACAGCTCAGTCAAGAGAGCGTTGAAAATACTTACCTAGGGAAAAACTCAAGAAATTGACACCTTTAACAGGGCATCTTTTGAGGACACCATTTAGGACTCCGATTCAGTAATTGCCCAAAGAGAAGGAACTGAGGGATCAACTCATGAAACATCAAGAGAAAAGGAACTCGGTGAAAGAGAGTTGAGCGAGAGACTTGCAGTGGTGAAAGCTTTGCTAGATCTGACTGCCCGGCAGACTTGATACATGCTCAATCGACCGATGTATGTGGAGCCAAGGATCCACAAAGTGATGAAAAGGACTTGAATGGACAATGCAGCATCAGCAAAGCATTAGCAAGCGATGTACATCCAGATACATACGAAAACAGCACAATGTAGCGCAGCGGAAGACTCAACGATATGACCTGACTTGTCAGCTGACGCGACACCCCATCATACACCACACATGTGAGAGAGAGGGGAGGGACCGCATACATAGAAGAAAGGTCCCTCCTTGAGCACACACATGGGGAGATACCACGGATGAGGAGATGGGGTAAGAGGCGAGACGAAGACGGAGATGAGAGAGAAGCCCAAGATCGCGATAGCGAAGTCCAAAAATAGTCTCCCTGCCGACTGTCCAATCAATGTCTGCCACAAAAATGTTGAATCAGATCCTGGGCCTCAAAGCCCGATGTAACATATCTCTCTCCCCCCCTCTCTCTCTCTCTCTCTCTCTCTCTCTCTCTCTCTCTCTGTGTGTGTGTGTGTGTGTGTGTGTGTGTGTGTGTGTGTGTGGAAGAAGAAGAAGAAGAAGAAGAGATGGAGGACGAGAACAGCAAGTAGAAGATGATGTCGCCCTCCTCCCTGTCTCACCTGCAGGTAACTACCGCCATGTACTAACTGCTACCTGCGAGTCTGATGCAGGTCGCTGGCGTGAAGTCCAGCTATGGCGCCCAGGTAAGCACTCCACGCTGCAGGTATGGCCATCCTCTCTCTCTCTCTCTCTCTCTCTCTCCCTAGGACAGCGCAGTATCGCGCTGGTCGTCAATATATATATATATATATATATCGTCAAATAGAACTGCCCGGTAAACCGTAGGCAGAGAGGGAGAAGAGGACAACAAACGAGGGGCTGTGACAAACTGTTTATATATTGACGATATAAGCGTGTCGCCCAAGAAGCGAGCTACTCGAACAGTGTGTCTGCCCTGGCCTGGCACAGCTATATGCACCACTGGGCCTCGCTGTTGCGCCTCTGGTCCTGGCCTGAAACGGTCTGCCTGGGTCCCTACCGGGTCCCCACTACTGGAAGAACATGGACCTGGCCCAAAAGGGCCTGACTACGGACGAAGAAGGCCCAAAATGTGGCCTTTGTCCGAACAGACCGAAAGTCTGTTCGGACAAACTGCAAGTCCAAAATGACGCCTGAACAGACAAAAATAGGACAGCAAATAAATAAATAAATAAATGAATGCTGCCTCAAATCGAATCCTGCGGCCCTAAGGCTGGCCGTGGGCCTCCAGGGCGCACACCTGAAAGGCGTGTGGCCTGGTGGCCCCAGCAACCGTTGGGCCCCCGAAATGGAGCCCGTGTGCAGGCTCAGCATGTAACACCCCCCCCTCCTTATGACGTCAAGCCGGGTCGAGGGCAAAGCTGACGATCCGATGGTGGAACCTGGACGTGACTGCGGTGTGAAGCCGAAGGTGCCGGCTTGCCTTGCTGTTTGTGTTCATAACATGCAAGGACATCGGGGGCTGTAGCCTGACGTTCCACACGGGTCAACCAACGGTCAGCCTTATGGCTGCAATAGGAAAAGTTTAGTAAGTACTCTGTCGGCTTGGTACCGTAGCGCCGGTGCGAAATGCTGTTGCTAACCTCCTGAAAACCATCCATGGAGGGTGGGTCTTGCGATCGTCACCCGGGAAAGTCATCGTGTTTCGTCGAGACGAAAAAAGCCAACTTTGAACAATGAAAGACCGGGTAGACGGTCAAGTGGGCGGGCACCTGAAGGACAAATGAAGGTCCTTTGGGTGCGTCACCAGCGGATGCTAAAATGCGTCGAGGCCCCATCCATTTCAGAAGGAGCTTGCGAGAGATGTCTTCTTCAAGGCTGAATTCTGCAGTAGAGACCCAAACAATGTCGCTTGTGCGGAACGTACAAGGAAGACGCTGGCGACTGGCTTGACGGCTCATGCGCTGCTGCGTCTTCAACATCTGGTCTCGTGCGTTGACAAGGAGCTCTTGCATCTGTCGAATGAAGACAAGGTGGTCGTCGCTCTCGATTATCCGTGGGACGATGGTGTCCAACGATGATGTGACTGGCGAGGCATGCTCAAACTTAAAGGGCGACATCCCACTAGCCGGATGAATGGACGAGTTGTAAGCCAACTCGACGTCTGGCAGCCGCTTAACCCAATCCTTTTGGTCGAGATGAGAGTGCGTAGAAGAACCTGTGCGGTTTGATGCGCCCTTTCCATTTGGCCATCGGGTTGTGGGTGCCGAGCCGAACTCGGCTTGAGAGATGAGCCCCACTGTTTGATGAGAGCCAACCAAAAGTCGGACATGAACCGAGTGTCGCGGTCGCAAACGATCTCCTTGGGATAACCCTTGGTGCAAATCCGACTGGCGTAAAGAACCTCGACCAACTCCGGTGCCTTGGCCTGATAGCAACAAGGCAAAAACATGGCGAACTTGGTGAGTCAATCAACCACCGTGAGAATCCCATCCATGTTGGTCTTGTGCTTGGGGAACGACCCCGTAATCTCCATGGCAATCGATTCCCGTTGTCCTAAGGGGACCGGTAATGGTCACAACTTGCCGAACGGACAATGGTTGCGATGTTTGTATCGCCGACAAACCTCGCATTACTCGCACTAGCGTGTGACGTCGTCGAGAAGGCCAGGCCACCAAAAGCACTCGCGGCCGATTGTACAATTGACTCTGAAGTGTCCGGTGGCAGGAGTGTCGTGGAACTCGCCAAGAAGCCGCGTGCAAAAGTGTGGATCACTTGGCATGCAAAGAAGTTCTTCCCCCGCAAGTGGACTAGCAAATAGCCCTCTTGGATCCGATAATGCGATGGTGCCAGATTTGAAGAAGAGCAATTCGCATACTTGTCGTGAAACTCCGGGTTGACTTGGTCGTCGCGGATGAAGCCGTCCCGCAAGTTGTTGTCAACCTCGAACGTCGAGTAGACCGCAGTACAAATGTCTGAGCGCTAGCGTCCGCAAAACGGTTAGACTTTCCCAGGATGTGATCGGGGAAGAAGTCAAATTGGTCGATGAAAGCCATCCAACGGGCTATGGTTCTATTAACTGTGTCTTGGGTCTTGTAAAAAAACAACGGATTGTTATCCGTTACCCATCGGAATCGACTTCGGCCAAGAAGAAAATCCAGCCACCGCTTAAGCGCGTGTACGGAGGCCAACAACTCCTCTGTGTCGTCAATCGAGTGCACAACGGGCACCTTCTTGCTTAAGTATTTGACTGGGTGCCAATCCACGCCATCATGTTGCTCGAGGACGGCACCAATGCCATAGCCGGACGCATCGGTTGCGACACGAGTTGCTAAAAGCGGGTCATAAATGCGTAATACCTCTGACGATAGCAAGGCGGCTTTGAGGTTCAAAACTGAAGCCCGCGCATAGTCGTCAAAGTCGAATAGTGAGAAACGAGCAGACATCCATTACGTTTTTCGGTTCCTGCCACTCTTGGACGGCTTGAATCTTGATCGATAACAGACTAATGCCCTCGGGTGTGACAAAATGGCCCAAATACTCTAAATCTGACGTACGAACTCACACTTGTCGCGGTTGGCTTTGTACTGCGCAACAGAGCGTCTCCAACACATGTCGAAGATGCTCGAGGTGGTCCTCCAAGGTCCGGCTATAGACGAGAATGCCGTCCAAGTAGACCAGCACAAACCGGTCCAGCACCGCGCAAAACTCCTTCGTCATTGTCGCTTGAAAAGTCATTGTGACATTGGTGAGGCTGAAAGGCATGACAATCCACTCAAAATGCCCGTACCACGTCTTAAACCCAAATTTGTGTTCTTGCGGGTATATCGAAATTTGATGATAGCATGGCTTCAAGTCCAAGTTCGAAAAGTACTTTGCGCCGCCCAAACAATCAAGAAGATCGTCAATACGAGCAAGAGGCCCCACATTCTTGATGGTTTGCGCGTTGAGCTTGCGATAGTCAATGCACAAGCGAAGGTCCTTGTTTTTCTTCTGTACGAAGAGAACTGGCGCACCATATGGTGAGCTACTAAGGCGGATCCAACCCTTGTCCAACAAGTCATCGAGATGAGTGCGGAGAGCGACAAGCTCTTCCTCGCTCATGCGATAGATGCAACCTTTCAGCGGCACGACAATGCCATGAAGAATGATCTCATGGGAGATCGGCCGATCCGGCACCACACCGGTAGGAGACTCGAGGATGTAGACGAACTCGCCAAGCAACCACACCATGTGGGGGTCCGAAGACAGGTCTGTAGGTGAAGATTCGGTCGCTGCGACGGTTCAAAGAAAACAAAGGTCTATCTCATCAGTCCGCTCGTAAGCACGAGTAGACCGAAAAGACTTAGCCGTCACAACTTGGCACCGGATCGAAGGGTGCGGAAGAGGAATGGTGCACGAGACTCGCCAAAAGTGTCGTGAAAGGTAAGTGTCTGTCAATGGAAGTTGACAATGTGGGCTGCACTCGCGAGCCAAGGCATCCCCAAAATGATGTCGAAGTCCGTGTCTAAGACGTCAAACATGACAAGTTCGCATGCATGTGGTGCGAAATAAACCGGCACGGCCTCGATGTAGCGATCAACAAGTTGTTGTGTACGACTGTCCGCCATCTTGACCGAAATAGGATGTGGCTTCCTTCGAACTTGTGCGCCATGGTCGGCCCTTTGTATAAAGGACTGGCTCATGAAATTGTGTCTCGTCACTATCCAGCAAAGCGTTGCAATACACTTGCCCAACTTGGATGCGGACATAAAGAAGCGTTGTGTTGTTGTCATCGTACCGCTGCGTGCGAAACACGCGGGCCACCTTGGTGATATACTCAAGGAGGTCCCTCGCCTCGCCTTCGTCATCCGTTGGCGAAGTTGGTGGTGCATAGAAGGACAAATATGTGTGCAAATGGCCGCATAGTGTTGCGCATTGCGGTCCCGCTAAGCGGCCCGTGGAAGGGAGAGGAAGCCCTACAAAATTCTCAGGCGACAACGGGTCCAAGACCTCCACGTTGAACTCGAATGCCAAATCCCTTGAAGAACCACTTGAAGACGATGAAATGGCGCCGCTACTGGACGAAGAGGAAACTGCGCACGCACCTTGTCCTTAAACCACCAGTACCTTACGAAGCAGTCCTCTAAACCTTTTTTTTTTGGAGCTACTGAACCTCTTTGTTTCGGGAGGAGGCAACTGTAGAAAAGCAATGCTACAACGGGCGACCGGTCCTTTGATGTTGAGGGACCGGTACTACTTAGACTATTGTTTTTCCTTCTTTGCTTTTCTTTTTTTCTCTCTCTCTTTTCCCCCCATTTTTCATGCCCAAGTGACGTGTAGCAGAGGAACCAAACAAAAGAAGAAAAAGGAAACAAGGATTTCGCCATGATAGCGATCAGATACATTCAGGAAAGTATGAGTGTGATGATGCCCTCAGTGAGGTCCTTTCTTGAGAACTCGACTGCGCTTTGCCTTGTTGGCAAGGCTCGAACAAAACAAAAAAAAAAA